ACTTAACCCTATTGATTGTTCTGGGGCACTTCCCCTTCTGGGTAATCCAGTTTTCTTGAGTCTCAATGCTTAAAATCTAGTATCTTACAAAGATGTGTTATTGAAACATTTTCTCTCTATAATAACCCTCATTTTTAACCAGAGATAGCCAAATCAGGACTAATTTGATTATAAAACACATCTAATTTTAACAAACCTGGCTTCATGACATATGTAAGCTCAGCAAAAGTAGTGATTGATCATATAGATCTTTTAGAATTTGCTTTGCTGGAACTTTTTATAATAAGGAATCTCTAGGTTGAACTTTTAGTAGCCTCTCTAGGCCAGAAGCCAAGCCAAGTGCCTGCCATCAGACAGGCCTGGAATACCTATAGATTTGGGCAAATCCCTCTTCTGGAGGTCCCCAATATATCCTGAGGTTCCTGCACCTGCCAGGAAGTGACGTTCTTTACTTACCTGGTAAGACCTCTGGGAACTCTGTAAGCAAGGTATCAGGCTAATGAGGCACCTGGGTGGCTCAGTCAGGTAAGAGCCTGCCTTCAGTTCAGGTCATGATCCTGGAGTCCCTGGATGGAGCCTCGCAGTGGGCTCCCTGCTCAACGGGGTGTCTGCTTCTCCCTCTGCCCCTTACCCACTCTGTCTCAAGTTTTTTTTAACAAACAAACAAAACAAAAAAGTATCAAACAACAAACAAACAAGTATCAGGCCAACATTTTCAAGTGTTGGTTTCATGCTTCATAAAGTCAACCTTAGTTCCTTAAAGCTGTCTGGTCATATACGAGTCTGTGCATGTCTCTCAAATATGACATTGCCATCAAAACCTTGGTAAAATAATGTTTCCAATGGTGTCCTGTTACAAGCAGAACACATTCTTATTGACCTTATGCAAATGACTGTAATTGCCATGAGATAAAGAATACTTATGGAGACGTTTTGAATTTCAGAGGGTTCAGGTAGAGAGAAAAGTTAGTCTTCAATTTGTTCACAGAGGAATATTTTATCTTATTTTTTATACCACAGATATCTTAAGAGGAAGTTTCCTTAGTCAGGAAGAGCAAATATTAGAGAACCAGCAATGTTTTAAACAAAAGTCACAAAAACTATAATCTTCCTCAGTTTAGTCAGTTCTGGAAATTCTTACCAATTTTAGTTTTGGGATTTTAAAGATATTAAAAACCTGTATTTGTCAAAAGTCCTTTTTATGAATCTCCTTGAAGATGAAACACGTTTTGCAAGAGAATACGAACAATAATTATAAATAACAGAAAGACTCAAAGATGGACATGGTTAAAAATCTGATGAGAGGTTACAATATAGCTGGCAGGGGAATCTGGTTATTTCTGTGACACTTAAGACTTCAAAAATCAGAATATTAAATGATGGCCTGATACTAGAACATATTAAAACATTAGGAATTGCTTATCATCTCTAGGATAGTTATAGCATTTATCCAAGCAATTTAACCTAAGGCTTATTAGACTTCATTTACAATTTAAATCTTGGGAAGTTTGTTTAAAAACTTCAAAGTTATAACACATGCCTGAATAAGATTACAGATTACAAAACTTATTTAACCAAGGTTACAATAAGAGATTCCAAAGGCAAATATGTAGGGTTATATAGTTATCAGCAAAACTTAGCTCATTTAATATTGAGAAGTTTTAACCAAGTGATCAAAGACAAAACCTAGGGAGCGCCTGGGTGGCTCAGTCGTTAAGCGTCGGCCTTCGGCTCAGGTCATGATCCCAGGGTCCTGGGATCGAGCCCCACATCGGGCTCCCTGCTCGGCTGGAAGCCTGCTTCTCCCTCTCCCACTCCCCCTGCTTGTGTTCCCTCTCTCGCTGTCTCTCTCTGTCAAATAAATAAAATCTTAAAAAAAAAAAAAAAAGACAAAACCTAGAAACTAGTTTTCTAGACAGACAAAAGAGAAAAAACTTTGTTTACATTTTCTTATCAAGCATAGAGCAACAATTCAAGAAAACTGTCTTAAGAGAGAAAAGCAGAATTTCAATCTTATACCACTGTACTTTTAAAATCCATTCAACTTTAGTCCTTACCACATATAAAATTCCCTTCCAAAGATTTTCCCCCATAAACCTACAACTTGTTCATTCAGTTGCTTCCCTTATTCTCGTCAGTCTTAATTACATTTAGCAGAATTTTAACTCAGAGACCTTAGTCTCAGTGAAAACTAAGTAGTAACCAATTGTGAACTGTCACACCAGAATTCTTTAGATGGCAAATTTATGAATCTCTTAAGCACAAAGCATGTTTTCAGACTCAAATATCCTTATTTTCTTTGCAATAAGAAGTCAAAAGCACAAACCTACATTCAGCAATCAGTGCTTTAGTATTTTATCTCATTTGAAAAAGGCCTAAATGTCCAATGAATTCAATCCTATTATCTAAGCAAAACTTTAAAGTTTCAGGTTGCCAAAGACTTTGAAAGCTATCTTAACGATTACCCATGAAAACAGACAAACAAAATTAACCATCATTTTAAATCATCTTTTTGCTAACAAACTGCAACAGAGATAACATGAGCTTATTTGATCTTTAGTAAATCTTGGTAGAATAAAAAGTTTCAATTACTTTAAATACCGAATTATGTTCCACCTGGGTCCACTTAAAAGTCAATTTGCTCCCCACTGTCAGTTTTTACTGGGGACACTGGTGGGGAAATCTGAAGTGGGTGGTGTTAAGTTTGAGGGGGTGCTCTTCGCTCCTCAACAGCAAGGGTAGGAGAAGCCAATGGTGCCAAGGGCACCCAGATGGTGTAGGAACCAGTTAGGCAGGCTGCATCCAAGGTGGTGAAGAAATAGGTGGGGAGGGAAAGGCAGATAAAAGCCAAGAGTGCAGAGAAAAGAGGTCTCCTGGTCCTAAAGCCTGTCAGCTTGAACAGATGAGCTAACACAGATTTTCAAGCTTCGCTTCCTTAAATCTTACAATCCGAATTGTTTCCAGTGAGTTAAAAGGTATCCCAAGGGAGAGTCCTTGGGGACTGAAAAAAGAAGGTCCATTACCAAGAAAATTCCCCCCGACTGCTAGGTGGTGCCCCATGCACAGGATAGGTCAGAGGTTCCTGGTGTCAAAGCGACTGGAAGCGTCCCTCAAACAAAATCACTAAGATCACCACCAGCCGTAAAGGTCCTGCCTGCCCTCCTCCCCCGCCCCCGCTTTCCCATCACATTCGAGACTACAATGGGTGCTGGCATATGGACCGAGTTTCACTTACTGTTAAGGTCCCGCCGTGAAGTGAAGGCCACAAAGAACTCACCATTTTTAACCCATGGAAGACACTAGAAAAGTTTTACAAGAGGAAAGTACCCAATTTTGTAACTTTAGTTAGCAGAGGACATTGACAGAGAACAGTAAAGATAGAAATCATCATGATCTAAGCGACATCCCAACACATGAAGTCTTTATAGCCAACTTCGCTAGGAAATGGTCCCCAGTAGGGTTTTAATTCAATCGGGTACCGGTTTTGGCCAACTCCCAGTGAGGGTCTTGTGGCCAGAAGTGCCTAGACTACAGATGTGGAGGGTATCACATTAGACCAATAAGGAGGAACACACGGGAGTATTAAGATTGGCAGCCATTCTGGTGACTTAGGTGGCCATTGCATGCCCAAGACAGACAACTTTGTATAAGGACAGGAATAGAAAGGGCATCAAGTTTCTGGGTCTTATTACCATTCAGGCCAGGTTACTATCAGCCAGAAGGCAGGCTTTGTCCTCCCCATAGAGTAGCCACGGGCTAGATGATTGCAGCCTGAGCAATCCACATGAAAGCGTTCTAGTAAGACTGTACTCCTTGAAAAGCCCCTGAAATGAGAGTAAAGGTAGAGAAAAACTAAGTAGTAAGTAGAGGAAAACACTCACCAAGTTGGCACCGCGGCTCAGAGTCCAGATGAAAAGCCCCATGTTCCAGCGCCAAATGGTGTGTTTTTGGAGTAGTGTTGTTAGGGTTCGGAGCTTACGGCCAAGAAAGAATTCTTGAAATGTTTTTGGTGCAAAAAGGTGATTTTTTTTTTTAAATTAAAGGACCCATGGGCACAAAGAGCTATTGCCCCAGGGGATTGGGAGGAGCAACTGATTATATACACTTTGAGGTTGGAGGAAGTAAAGATAAGGGAAGTTCCAAAAGGATGTTCATATGCTAAAGAAGACTCTCAGGATACCTGAGGACTTGCTATTGTCAAACCAAGGTAATTCTTCCCTCTAGCAAGGCATTAACATTAAGAAAGTTGGGAGTTTCCTGGAAGAATGTTACACTGCAGCCTCAAATATTTGTCAATCGGCTGCAGGTTATAAGGACGTTTAATTTTCTCTACACTTCCTTCTTTGTTTCCCACATCGAGTACCATCCCTAGGCAACTGCAGACTAATGATTGCCAAGAAGTAACCAGTTTGGGAAGACCAGAAAGGAGTGAAAAGATACATGATTAACTCAGGTTACTAAATATTGTGAAATCATAATTCTTAGGGGAACACATACAAAAATGTCTCATAATGATGAAGGAACAAATGAGTAAAACAGGACAGATCTTTTTTTTAATATTGATGAGTCAGTTCTCAAGTGTTAATTCTGAAGATTATCAGGTTTAGTTCAAGACTGAGTTCTGATAACCTTTGCAGTTTTTCCACTCTTTATTTAAGAGTTCCTTATTTAATAGTTCCTAAAAATTCACCTTCAGAAAGGGCTGGCCGCAAGGGAGGAAGGATCCTCCTAGCCCAGTGACGGAGGTTGTGCAGAAGCGTTCCCCAAGCCCTGGGGTCAACACCCTGGAAAAGCCCAGAGGCTCGAGGTCGCTTGGAGCCACGCCCAGATCCAAAGGGTGGCACCCGCCTCTGCACCTAGACTCCGAGCCCCACAGGGCCAGGAGTAACTGTCCGGAGCAGCCAACCAATGGCCAGGGAACGGGGGCGGGACCTCGCGGTGTCCGACCAATAGGAATGCGGCGGGGCAGGCGGTCGAACCAGCTCCAAGGCCCCGGGGTTCGTGGCACCAGCCCCCGGCCCAGCTATGTGGGACCCTCCGGGTGCTGAGGCATGCGCCCCGGCCCTCGGAGGCGCGCTCTTTCTGCTGCTCTTCGCGCTGGGGATCCGCCAGCTGCTGAAGCAGAGGCGGCCGACTGGCTTCCCCCCTGGGCCGTCGGGGCTGCCATTTATCGGCAACATCTACTCGCTGGCCGCCTCGGGCGAGCTCCCCCACGTCTACATGAGAAAGCAGAGCCAGACGTACGGCGAGGTACAGCCCTACGGGCTGCGGGCTGGGAGGGCCCGGGCCTTCCTCAGGGGTGGACTTGACGGCCGCTCCGAGGCCCGACCTGTCGAGACTCCCCTTCCCTGTACTACCGACTTGTAGGGAACCGGCTTCCCCAGTCGGCGGGTAGGAGTCCTGGAGGCCGCGCCCCTTCAGGGGAACCCGGCCCAGCCAGGACCTCCCACCCTTCCGACGCCTAGCGGGATCAGGCGGGATCCTCTGGTAGTGCTCGCGCGCCTGCGCATGGGCCCCGAGGGCGCCAAGATTGTGCTCCGCGCCTGCTCAGTGGGGCCCCGAGCTGTTTTGGGAAGCGTGTGGGTTGGGGTTTTTTTTTTTTTTGGCAGCGGGTGGGAACTAGACGGGTGTGCGGTTCTACCCGTGGCTTCTCGCGAAAATGGGGCATCCAAGTTCTAGGTCCTGATTAATGTTTAATAGGACGTTACTAAATGTTTGCATCTAAGGATGGCTGCTCTAGGCGTCTGCTATGGGGATTATAAAGCGCAGGTAAGGCCCCTGGGCAAGACTGGAAAATTGTGAAAGAGCGAATGAATTGATGACTAAAAATCGGTGCGGAGTCCTACAGCGAAGTGAGCAGTGTCGGCCTGACTGGCCAGGAACATCCTCATAGCAAACACTGGGACTGCGCCGCTGTGGGCCAGCCTCCCTTCCAAGGTGCCCTGACGTAAACTCACAACCGTCCGGCCCAGCTACTTCCGGCCTTTCGCACTGTGCAGAGAAGGAAAGTGCAACACAGCAATGCTGGGGGACTTGCACACAACCGCACCGCCGCTCCCTGCAGGGGAAAAGGCCAGAACTCAAGCGTGTGCTTGGAAGGATGTCCTAACCTCGGAAGGAGGCAGAAGTTTCCAGAGCATTGGCACTGGCTGAGCTCGCCTGTTTTGTATTGAGTCCTTTCATGCCTATGCAGCAACCACAAGCTGCCAGGCTCGGCCAGGTGCTGGGAATGAGGCGAGGAAGGCGACACTGCTTGACTTAGGGAGTTAGAGCCCGGGAGAGAGAGCAACTCTAAACATCGACCACAAATTGTGAGTGCTTTGAAGGAATAGTACTGCAGGGCTCTTTGGCAATTGTGGAATTTCAGGTTGGGGCTTAAATCTTTATTTGAACTAAAGTTTACGAGAATTATCTTAGAATTATCTTCTTGCACCGCTCTAATGGTTGACATTGTTAAAGGGAAAGTGGTTTTACGTAAAGCAAATTATATAATTCTTACATTTTATTGTCAACCTTCCAGTTCTCCAGGAATTGAGTGTAACTTTTCTCTAAATTTTAATTTTTCTTCATGAGTAATGATAATAACTAGAAACAGTAAACTGCTACTCAAATGTTCTTGGTTATTAATTGCAAAACTGTTTATTAGGCCTATAACATAAAAAGTATCTTTAAGCCAGTTATGTGAAATGCTGTCTTGCAGAATAGGAAGATGTTTTTCATATATTCCCTATGCTGAACCTTTCTTTCCCATGACTTATACCATACCTGGAGGCTTGTACCTCCCACTCACCTTCATCCATTTTGTCCATCCACCCACCCCCTCTCCTCTGGCAACCACCAGTTCTCTGTATTTATGGGTCTGTTTCTGCTTTTGTTTGTTCGTTTTGTTTTTAGATTCTTTCTGTCTGACTTATTTCACTTAGCATAATAGCCTCTGTGTCCATTCATGTTGTCACAGATGGTAAGATCTCATCTTTTTTATGGCTGAGTAATACATATATATGTATACATTATATCACTTCTTCATACATTCATGTATTGATGGACATTTAGATTGCTTCCAATATTGGCTATTGTAAATAATGCTGTAATAAACATAGCAGTGCATATATCTTTTTGAAAATGTTTTCAGTTTCTTTATAGTGGAATTACTGAATTGTATGCTATCTTTTTTAAGATTTCTTTATTTTAGAGAGATTGTTCACAGGCACACGCTTTGGGGGGAGGGGCAGTGGAGAGGGGAAGTAGACTGCCTGCTGAGCACAGAGTTGGCCTCAGGGCTCGATCCCACCACCCTGGGGTCACTACCTAAGCTAAAACCAGGAGTCAGACACATAACTGACTGAGCCACCCAGGTGCCCCTGTATACTATTTCTAATTTTAATTTTTTGAGGAACTTCCATACCGTTTTTGCAGTATCTGCACCAATTTACGTTTTCACCAACAGTGTACAAGGGTACCTTTTTCTCCATATCCTTGCCAACACTTATTATTTCTTTTCTTTTTGATACCAGCCATTTTTTTTTTTTTTTAAGTAGGCTCCATGCCCAGTGTGGAGCCCAACTTGGGGCTTGAACTTACAACCTTGAAATCAAGAGCTGAGCTGAGATCAAGAGGAGGGACACTTAATCGACTGAGCCTCCCAGGCACCCCAGATACTAGCCATTCTGACAGGTATAAGGTGATATCTCATTGTGGTTTTGATGTACATTTCCCTGATGATTAGTGATGTTGAGCATCTTTTCATGTGTCTTACGACATGTGTATGTCTTCTTTGGAAAAATGCCTATTCAGGTCCTCTGCCCATTTTTAATTAGATTGTTTTAATGGTGTTGAGTTGTATAATTTCTTTATGTATTTTGGATATCAAACTCTTATTGGATATATCATTTGCAGATACCTTCTCCCATTCAGTAGGTTGCCTTTTCAGGGTTTTTTGTTGTTGTTTTTGTTTGTTTTTTGTTGTTGTTGTTGTTTTTTAAATAATTTTTTATTGTTATGTTAACCACCATACATTACATCATTAGTTTTTGATGTGTTTGTTTTTTTAATGGTTTCCTTTGCTGTGTAAAAGTTTTTCTTTTGGTATAGTCCCAATAGTTTATTTTTGCTTTTGTTTCCCTTGCCTGAGGAAACCTATCCATAAATAAATTGCTAAGGGAAATGACTAGGGGATTACTCTCTATCTTCTCTTCTAGGATTTTTATGGTTTCAGGACTCATATTTAGGTCTTTAATTCACTTTGAGTTTATTTTTTTGTATGGTGTAAGAAAATGGTCCAGTTTCATTCCTTACATGTATTGGTCCGGTTTTCCCAGCACCATTTATTGAAGAGACTGTCTTTTCTCCATTGCATATTTTTGCCTCCTTTGTTGTAGATTAATTGACTATATAATAGTGGGTTTATTTCTAGGCCCTCTTTTCTGTTCCATTAATCTATGTGTCTATTTTTGTGCCAGGATCATAGTATTTTGATTATTATATCTTTGTAATATATCTTGAAATCTGGGATTGTAATACCTCCAGTTTTGTTTTTCTTTTTCAAGATTGCTTTGGCTTTTCAGGGTCTTTTATATAATATAAATTTTAGGATTATTTGTTCTAGGATTTCTAGTTCTGTGAAAAATGCTGTTTGTATTTTGATAGCAATTACATTAAATCTTTAGATTGTTTTGGGTAGTATGGACATTTTAACAATATTGGTTCTTCCAATCCATGAACATGGAATATCTTTCCATTTGTGTCATCTTCAATTTTTTTTTATTAGTGTTTTATAGATTTCAGAGTACAGGTTTTTCACCTCCTTGGTTAAATTTATTCCTATTTTATTATTTTTGGTGCTATCATAAATGGAATTGTTTTATTAATTTTTCTGGTACTTCATTATTATGGCAATGCAGCAGATTTCTGTATATTGATTTTGTGATCTACAACTTTACTTACTCATTTGTTACTTCTAATAGTGTTTTGGTGGAGTCTTTAGGGTTTTCAATGTATAGTATCATGTCATCCACAGATAGTTTTACTTCTTTCTTACCAATTTTGGCGCCTTTTATTATTTTTCTTGTTTGATTGCTGTGGCTAGGACTACCAGTACTATGTTGAATAAAAGTGGTGAGAGTGGACATCCTTGTCTTGTTCCTGATCTTAAAGGAAAAACTCTTAATTTCTCACCATTGTGTATGATGTTAGCTGTGGGATTGTCATATATTGTCTGTATTATATTGAGGTATATTCCCTCTAAACCCACTTTGTTGAGAGATTTCTTGTGAATGGATGTTGAATTTTTTCAAATGTTTTTTCTCCATCTGTTGAAGTGATCATATTATTTTTATCCTTCATTTTGTTAATGTGGTGCATCACTTGGATTGATTTTTGAATGTTGAAACAGTCTTGCATCCCCAGAATAAAGAGAAGGAGAGTGCACCAAGAAAGGCTTCATAGAGGATATTCCCTAAAGACATCGTATGGTCTGGACCGTATGACAGTCAAGGGAGGCATTTCAAATGAGAAAACAGCCCAAGCAAAGGTTGAAAAGTGTTTATCAGTTTTCATCAATGGCACTTTTCACATCCCTCTCTTACTAGCCCTTCACCCATGGTGTTGTGTAATAGTATACTTAAATGTATGTCTTCACCACTATTCAGTAATTCAGCATATACTTATCAGTTATCAGCATCTGCTACATACTGTCCTAAGTGTGAAGATATAGTAGTAAACAAAACAGTGGTAAAAAAACCTGTCCTGGTGTAGCTTATGTTCTCCTGGGGGCTGAGGTGGACAGGGAGGAGATGGACAATATAAATAGAATAAGTAAATGATATAATACATCAGAGTACAGAGTGTGAAGTCAACTAAATTAGGGGAAGGGAGATGGAGAAGGCTAAGGGGTAGAATTTTAACTGAGGTAGAGCAGGCCTCACTGCAAAGAAGACATTTGAGCAGAGGCTTAAAGGAAATGAAGGAGTAAACTCTAGGAATAACTAGAGGAAGAACATTCCAGGCCAAAAGAACATGCACAAAAGCCATGAATCAGGAGTATGTAATATTGAGAATCACCTATAAAGAGACAAGTTGAGAGGCTGTTGTGATAACATGAGGGAAAATGAAGGTGGCTTGAATCAGAGTGTTAGGGATGGAAGGGTAAGAAATTGCCGTCTCCTGTTTATATTCTGAAAATAGCAGCAACGTGACTCTAAGTGATGTGGGACTGGGGAGAAAAATAGAGTCGGCACAGGCAGTAGTTTGGGTCCTGAACAGCTGGAAGGATGAATGGAGTGCTCATTACCTGAGACAGTGAAAAATTGTGGGCAGAGCTGGTTTGCAGGGAAGGAAAGAAACTTGATCACAGACTGATTTGTAGAAGGGAAGGAAAGTGTTTCACAGACCTTTACCAAAAGTCCTTGAAAACAGCACATACCAGAATAGATGCTAGTTCAAATAACAATTTCCCCAGTTTTACCCTCAAATAGGGACCAAATTTTTTTTTTAAGATTTTATTTATTTGACAGAGAGACACAGCAAGAGAAGGAACACAAGCAGGGAGAGTGGAGAGGGAGAAGCAGGCTTCTTGGTGAGCAGGGAGCCCAATGCGGGGCTGGATCCCAGGACCCTGGGATCATGACCTGAGCCGAAAGCAGACGCTTAAACCCAGGCGCCCGTAGGGACCAAATTTTTGAGTCAAAGTGGATTGTATAACAACTTGTGCAAACCATGGCTCCTCTTTGGTCTTTGTAATCCATACTGTCCACACCTGATAGCTTTACCCTGCAATGGACTCTTCTGTTTGTTCTTAATGCATATTAACACAGCTTTCAATCCCAGGGTCTTCTACCATCCTCCATCAGTCTTTTTGTCCTACATCAGAACAACTGCCTATTCACTAATACCATCCTTTCCTGCTGTGATACTGTGATTTATAATAAGAAATACATATTTGGTTTTTGTTCCTTTCCTTGGAATTTCCTGAAAGTTAAAAGTAAGAAAGATGTCTTTTGACATCTTACATGACAAGCCCCTTTCAACCACACCTGAGTTTACGCTAATGAAGTAATTTTTGGACAGTCCCTAGAATGGGAGTTTATTGCCAGGAGAACCAATCATGATTAGAGGGTTGGAACTTTCAGTCATACCCCCACTACCTCTGGGAAAGGGAGAGGGGCTGGAAGTTGAATCAGTCACCAGTGGCCCACGATGTAATTAATTGTGCCTAGGTAATAAAGCATCCATAAAAATTCCTGAATTACAGGGCTCAGAGAGCTTCCATGTGGGTGAACAGGTGGAGGTGAGCAGAGGATAGAGAGCATGCCTGGGGAGAACATGGAAGCTCCGCTCCCCTCCCCTTTCCCCATACCTTCCCTGTGCATATCTTTCATATGGCTGTGCCTGAGTCGAATCCTTCTATAATAAACTGTTAATCTAGTAATTATTTTCCTGAATTCTCTGAGCCACTCTAGCATATTAATGGGACCCAAGGAGGAGAGGTCGTGGGAACCTCTGACTTATAGCCTGTTGGTCAGAAGCACCTGGACTTGCGAATGGCATCTGAAGTAGAGGTAGGGAGCAGTCCTGTGGGACTAACTTGGGGGATCTCCGGGTAGGTAGTGTCAGAATTGAGTTAAATTCTAGGACACCTAGCTGGTGTCCCAGAATTGCTGAGGTGTGGCAAACCCACACAGCTGGTGTCAGAGTGTTAGAGTAGAGAGTATTGAGATTAGAGGAGACACACAGGAGGAGGCATTTTCCCTTTCTATCTGTTAAAATTACACTTCTGGGAAACAACTTTAAGACCATTCCATTACTGCTTTGGGAACTGAGAGAGTCCCACATTTGCTCAGCTGGTAGCCATTCTCTTTGGCACTGAAACTCTTACACTGCCACTTTTGACTAATACCACTGCTTGTCACATGCAGTCCATGCTACTTTCCCAAGGTTCTGGATGTCTGTTGCTCGGTCAGCAGAGCCTATCCCTTTGCCAAAGACTCCGTTGTTAAGTGGGTTGCTTCTGCTACTACTTGGAGGTCTTCATCACGTTTTTTTCCTGTAATTACTTCTGCCGAACTTCTGTTTTCCATTAAACTTCCTATTTGGGTTTTTTCCTCCCAAAGGTAGTGTAAACCATAGTTAAATCTGCTCTACCTATTTGCAAAGAGATGAGGGTTGACTCAGTATTTTGGCCCTAAAAAGCTCTTAGCCAGGCCCTGAGAGGATGAAGATAAGCAGTCTTTGTACCCCACTGATAAAGTAGCATTGTTCCCTCATTGGACTAGCTAGAACAGACTACAGGAGGTGTTCTGTTGTAAGTGAACCTGACGTGAAGCACATGAGAAGCTCCAGCAAAGCATAGGATGATGATCTTCTGACTTGCCTTCCCTTTAGCTGAGGGGCACCCGCCTGTGCCTATGTGGTAAATGCCTTTTCTCCAGGGTCAGATTCCCTTAGGGGCCATCTTTGTTAACTTCATGGAATTCAGAGACCCAAATACAAATGAGCCTAATTATAATACGTTTATACTTCAAAGTTATCTCTCAGGTAATTCCCTCCCCTATCTAAGCCTGGAGTAAATAACATATAGATGGTGCTTCTTCCTCATTTATCTTGGAAATAAAAAGAGATTCGTAGAGCTCATTGAATGCATTGAGTTGGAATGAATCTTAAAAGAGCATCTGAATCAAGTATCATATTTTCTGTGGCAACCTTGAAGCCCAAAAAGGTTAAGGGTTCTGCCCAGGGTCCTATATTTGTTTAATGACAAAGCTTAAACTAGAACCCAGGCTTAATGAGCCCAGTACTCTCTTCCTTAAACCATTTATAGGATTATGTCTTCAGGCACTAACCAGGTAATGAAATTATAGTGTTTGCTATGCCTTGTAGAGAGAAGGCACTCAAAACATTGTCAGTTGAATAATAAATCCTTCCATTTTCAGGGAAGTAACAAATACTGGGAGAACTGGGCTTAGCACGGGTGGATTTCCATAGTTATATTTCTCCATTTTGTCATTTAAATGTTGTTTTTCTTTTCTTCTCAAAGATCTTCAGTTTAGATCTTGGAGGTATCTCAGCTGTGGTTTTAAATGGCTATGATGTAGTAAAGGAATGCCTTGTTCATCAAAGTGAGATTTTTGCAGACAGACCATGCCTTCCTTTATTCATGAAGATGACAAAAATGGGAGGTATGTTTATTTTCACCTATTTAGTGATTTACTATTTTAAATTACACTCCTTATTTGATGTAACTTTAGTATTTAGAGTGTAGGTTCTGTTGTACTGATTAGCAGGAAAGAATTAATTAATTTAGGTTACAGAACTTAATATTTAAAGACCTTGCAGGCTGCATTACACCCATATTTTAGACCAGTACATGCTCATTCTGCGTTGTAATTCTGTCTAATAATTATTGTAAATAATGTTTTAAAGAATTAGCATTTAATGATACCTGCAAGTTTTGTGAAGCAAGTTAGGAACACACATGTGCATGCACACTTGAATCAAGAGTGGTTTTTAAAGCCAGTCTTGAGTACTTGGTGACATTTTTACCATCAGAATAGAATGTGAAGCAGCCTTTCTTAACTACTAACCAATATGATATGTAAATGAAGAATTGTGGGATTTATGTAAAGGACTAGCTTCTGTTTGGTTTAGTGTTGATCAGCATTGGATGATTTGATATTCAACAAGGGAGGAAGGCTGAAGGTTAACAGAATTGGTGAGCAGAAAGCCTAAACTAGAATGTTGAAGTCAGATAAGTGGTTTTAATACTTAATAGTGTAAGGGTTTTACAATGATAGTGTCCAAAACTCTCTAATGAGAGCTTCACACTCAATTTCAAAGAAAAATGTAACAAAATTTGGCTTACATAGACTAAAGACATTGAAAAGAAAATAAAAATTAACCATATATTGAATTACAAAGCAAATCAACTAATGCAAAGAAAACAGCAGTTTTAAAGGACAAATTCTTAGGCCAGAGGATAATGATACCTGAAAGCAATAAAATAAAACACAAATTTCGAGCCTCTTAATACTCTTCTCAATAATACTTAGGCCAAAGAAGATATTATACCACAATTATAATAGAAGACCTTTAAAGAAATTGTGAAAATGAAAGATGATGTTATCAGAGTAACGTTTGGGATAAAGTATATACTATATATTTTTCAAAGCTATAGTTTTGTAGTTTGGACTATTTTTATCATCTGAAATAAGCATTTGACTTGATATTTTCAAAAAACAGTAAGAGAAAAAGAAGTAGAAAATTGTGTGTTATTGTAAATACATATGCACTGAACTTGGAACTGAGAATTCAGAGCCCACTCTTTGGGTAAAAGTTGCCCTATAAGTGGGCTCAGCCCATGCTTGGCCAGCACAGAGGTATCACAAGTCTCCTCTGTACCCTCTTGTACATGTATCTCTTACGCATACATTGCTCTAGGGCTTTGCGCTAGCTGTTCCCTCTAAGCAGAGATCTTTCCCTGCATATCTGCTTGACTCACTCCCTCATGTACTGTATCTTTACTTATGACACTTTCTCAGTGAGGTTTTCCCTGACCACCCTGTGTCTCCTTCCTTGCTGTAATAATTCATTCATTTGCCTCTTGTCACTAGTGTGTAAGGTCCATGAGAGTAGGCATCTTTGTCTCTTTTGTTTACTGATATATCTGTGACACTTAGAACACCGCCTGGAGCACGGTAGGTGCTCCATAAATACATGTTGAATGAGTATTTGTTGAATGGTCATCTGGGAGTATAGAAAAGACAATGGACTATGGGAACATAAGATGGCTGCACAGCACTAAAGACCCCCCTTTTGTATGGTTAGCTTTATCATAAGCTCCAAATTCAAAAACCGTTGCACAAAAGTTGCTGAAATGTAAATTTTATAGGTACCTCATGTACATAAGAGAATGTGACATTTTTCATGAAAGGTACATGTATGTACCAATTATGAATGAAATTTTGAGTAAAGTGCATGTTATATATATGTGCTAAAGATATTGTTTTCCTCTCTCTCTCTCTCTCTCTTTTTTTTACACATCGATTGATTTTGGGTTTCCTGGGTGGCTCAGTCAGTTAAGCGTCTGCCTTCGGCTCAGGTCATGATCCCAGGGTCCTGGGCGCAAGCTCTGGGCTCAAGCCCCGCATCAGGCTCCCTGCTCCGTGGGGAGCCTGCTTCTCCCTCTCCCTCTGCCTGCCACTCCCCCCTGCTTGTGCTCTCTCTCTGTCAAATAAATAAATATCTTTTAAAAAAAATAAAGATTGATTTAGAGAGAGAGAGCATGGTGGGGAGAGGCAGAGGGAGAGGGAGGGAGAATCTTAAGTGTACTCCATGTTGAGCTCAGAGCCTGATGGTGGGGCTTGATCTCACAATCCTGAGATCGTGATCTGAGCTGAAATCAAGAGTCGGATGCTTAACCCACCTGAGCCACCCAGGTGCCCCTGCTTTTCTTTTTTTTTTTTTTTTAAAGATTTTATTTATTTGACAGAGAGAGACACAGGGAGAGAGGGAATACAAGCAGGGAGGGGAGTGGGAGAGGGAGAATCAGGCTTCCTGTGGAGCAGGGAGCCCAATGCGGGGCTCGATGGGATCATGACCTGAGCCAAAGGCAGATGCTTAACGACTGAGCCCCCAGGTGCCCCACCTCTGTTTTTCTCTAGATAGGTAATTTTTTTTAATTTTTTGCAAATCACTTTTTTAATTCAAGTATAACTAACAACAGTGTCATATTAGTTTGAGGTATACAATGTAATGATTCAATGATTCCATATATTAGTGCTCATCATAAGTGTACTCTTAATCCCCTTCACCAATTTCACTTGTCTCCCCACCCACCTCCCCTCTGGTAACCACCAGTTTGTTCTCTATATTTTAGAATGTTTTATTGTTTGTCTCTTTTTTCTTTCTTTTGTTTCTTAAAGTCCACATATGAATGAAATCATATGGTATTTGTCTTTCTCTGACTGACCTATTCCACTCAGAATTATATTCTCTAGATCCATCCAGGCTATTGCAAATGGTGAGATTTCATTCTTTTTTAGGGCTGAGTTATATTCCATTTGGAATATATATACCACATCTTCTTTACCCATTCATCTATCAGTGGACACTTGGGTTGCTTCCATATCTTGGCTATTGTAAATAATTCTGCAATAAACATAGGGGTGCATCTTTATAATTTAAAAGGAATATATTCTATAGTAGCCACATCATAAGAGCAGAGTATACTCTGAAACTTTAAGGCAGCAATATCAACATTAGAAATTTGAGTTTTGTGTTTACCCTGTCTTCATTTGGGCTGCTTTAGTAAAAATACCAGACTTAGTGTCTTAAACAACAATCATTTATTCTCACAGATCTGGAGATTGGGAAATCCAAGATTAAGGTGCCAGGAGATCTGGTGTCTAGAAGGAACCTACTTCCTAGCTTGGAGACAGATGTCTTCTCCCTGTATCCTCACACAGCTGAGAACAGTCATCTCTTCTTGTGTTTCTTATAAGGGCACCAGTCTAGCTCATGAGGCTCTACCCTCATGACCTAATTACCTCCCAAAAGGCCCCACCACCTAATACCATCACTTCGGGGGTTAGGCTTCAACATGTTTATTTTGTGGGGACGCAAACACTCAATTCATAGTATCCTCCTTTTGGCTTGAGTATTTCTACCACACTGACACCTCATTCAGGCTTCCTTAGCCTCTTCCAGAGTTACCTTGTTAGGTAACATATGCCTTTAACAGGAGAGAATCTGTATTCTAAAATCTAGGAACAAACTTTCTAATCCTACAAGGATGGTTTTCAGTTGTTTTCTTAGTCCAAGATAAAATTTGCCCATAGAACATACAGTGGTTTGTCTTTTGTAGATGAGGCTTAGAGTAATAGCTAGATAATAAAGTCATCGGGTCTAGTTCACCTAGGATGAATTACATAGGACTGTCCAGTTTCTTGTGGTAGGAGAATTTCAGGTCTTTTCTGCCTGTCTCCAGATAAAAAGAAGACAAGCTTTATCTGTTGACAATATTCTGTGGCTAATGATTAGCAAAGAACAGGGCTTAAGCACTAGGTCTAATTTTAGATTTATAGAAAGATAATTTGGAGAAGAATGACTAACCATCCTTTTTTACTCCATAGCATTTTCAGGTGTTAGATACAGGAATGTAGGAATGATAAAGTTTTTTTAATACTTTATTTTTTTTCCAGGCTTACTCAATTCCAGATATGGCCGAGGATGGGTTGATCACAGAAAATTAGCTGTAAATAGCTTTCGCTATTTTGGATATGGCCAAAAGTCTTTTGAATCTAAAATCTTAGAAGAAACCAAATTTTTTATTGATGTTATCGAAACATACAAAGGTAGACCATTTAACTTTAAACAATTAATAACAAATGCTGTTTCAAACATAACCAATCTGATCATTTTTGGAGAACGATTCACTTATGAAGACACTGATTTTCAGCACATGATTGAGTTATTTAGTGAAAATGTGGAACTGGCTGCCAGTGCCTCAGTCTTCTTGTATAATGCCTTTCCATGGATTGGCATCTTACCTTTTGGAAAACATCAACAGCTATTTAGAAATGCAGCTGTGGTCTATGATTTTCTCTCCAGGCTTATTGAAAAAGCTTCCATCAACAGAAAGCCTCAGTCACCTCAGCATTTTGTCGATGCTTATTTAGATGAGATGTATCAAGGTAAAAATGACCCATCATGTACTTTCTCCAAAGAAAACCTCATTTTTTCTGTGGGTGAACTCGTCATTGCTGGAACCGAAACTACAGCCAGTGTGCTACGGTGGGCAATTCTTTTCATGGCCCTTTATCCTAACATTCAAGGTGAGGATCCTCTTGATCTCAGGACTGTCCCTACATTTAGGGCTCACACATGAAAAGAGTCTTTGGCTATGTACAAAGCATTTTATTTAGGAATCTCTGCTGTGCTAGCCAAGAAGAAAAACATTTCATAGTTTTTTTTTTTTAATAAAGATTTTATTTATTCATTTGACAGAAAGAGACACAGCGAGAGAGGGAACACAAGTCGGGGAGAGGGAGAAGCAGGCCTCCTGCAGAGCAGGGAGCCCGATGTGGGGCTCAATCCCCAGACCCCGGGACCATGACCCGAGCCGAAGGCAGATGCCCAACGACTGAGCCACCCAGGCACCCCAGCATTGCATAGTTATAAAGAGTTTCACATCTGTTCTCTCAAGTCATGTAAAAACCTCAGAGTTAGGTCTTATGCCTGTTTTATAAAAATGAGGGAAAAGGCAAACTAGCTGACTTGCCCAAGCTCAGCCCCTGGAAGTGGCAGAGCTGGGACCTGAACCCTGCATTTTTTTAATTCAAGTTTTATGTTTCACTGTTTCCCTTGCTGAGAGTGATGTTATTTCAGTTGTAGGTTTGTTTAATTTTTTTTATTACTTTTAGTGTTTTTTTTCACAGCAAAGGTACTCAGAGCATTGGTTTCTGGTGGCACACAATATATGGCATATTTTCAAATAGAACTCCCAGATAATGAAAAATCTGAATCTGGTTGTAACCATACCTTGTTGACTTATTATAGATTACCCAAAGGGAAATTACTTTGGATATAATTCTAAGAATTGCATAATAATTTGAACACTTTTTCTCTGACAGGACAAGTTCAGAAAGAGATCGATTTAGTTATGGGACCCACTGGGAAGCCTTCTTGGGATGACAAAAGCAAAATGCCTTATACGGAGGCAGTTTTGCATGAAGTTTTAAGATTCTGTAATATAGTGCCATTAGGGATTTTCCATGCAACCTCTGAAGATACAGTTGTACGTGGTTATTCCATTCCTAAAGGCACAACAGTAATTACCAACCTTTATTCTGTACACTTTGATGAAAAGTACTGGAGAAACCCAGAAATATTCTCTCCTGAGCGATTTCTGGACAGCAGTGGATATTTTGCCAAGAAGGAGGCTTTGGTTCCTTTTTCCCTAGGTAAGAGAACTTTCACAGGGACATGACTTTAGGACAGAGGATGATGATGATTGATCATGTATGACATCTTAATCTGAAGTATTCTGTTGTAGAATTAAAGATTCCAATTCTGAAAACACAGCATTGATTCTTACAGGAGAGACTGGTTTAATTAGAAAGTCATTAATGCCTGTTTCTCCTCAACACTTAACTGAGTAACTAGAAAGAAATGGTTGAGAAGCTCTGGCTTCTTCTGAAACTTTTGCTTGTGGATTTGAGCTTGTAATCAAAACTTGTAGAGCTAGAAGTCAGTAATAGATAGCTTGAGAAACTGAGACCCAGGGGGAAGAAATGACATCAGAATTTGAAGTGCAACTGAAACATAGCTCTCTTGGCTCCTCGTTTATTGTACCTCATCTCCAAAAATATTGCTTGGTTCCTCTTGCTATCCGTGAAATAGTCGACGGACCACAAGACCCATGGAAGACAGACTGAAAACTCTTCCTTTCATTGGAGAAGGGTTCACATTTAGTCATTTGAAATGAAATATACTTTTCCTGGATCTAGAACAAAATGGCATGCCTGAGATTCGATCTTTCATGGTATATCTTGGTCTGTGTTGCAACGTGCAAGGGAAGTGTGGAAGGGGATTAATAAGCTTACAGAAGCCCATGATCTGACAAGAGAAGGTAAAGAAATGGGCTCTGGGAGCTGAAGTGCCAGTTGTTATTCTCTTTAATAAACATAACTGCCTCTAACTTTCTTTAAATACCAGATTTCCTGAATGGAACCCATATAGTAGATGTAAATTTTGATAAATACTATGGATTTTAAAAAATTGTGTCTATTTCTTTTCTGTTTAGGGAAAAGACATTGCCTTGGAGAGCAGCTGGCTCGGATGGAGATGTTCCTGTTTTTCACAGCATTGGTCCAGCGGTTTCACTTGCATTTTCCACACGGGCTCGTTCCAGATCTGAAGCCCAGATTAGGCATGACATTGCAACCCCAGCCCTATCTCATCTGTGCAGAAAGACGCTGAAAGTGCTGGCCATCTTGTGGGAAAAGGTTATCTGGTTGCCTTTTACCCCTGAACCTTGATTATCTAACCAGTGCGTGTGTTTATACAAAAATCACAGCATCATAAAGCCAAACGAACACAGTCTTTGAAAGTAGTACTAAAGCAATAATAAGCATTAAGTACAGTTTTTTCCAAGCTTTTGTGACTTCTGAGGTGGAATTATCTGTGGAGGAAAACAAAGGTACAAATGACAGGTGTTGCTTAATTAAGCAAGGCCATGGATGCCCTAAGCAGAGCCTGACTTTTCAGCCTCTTGTTGAACACCAGGTACCCCTTTTCCTTTCTTGACTCCATCTTGCTCCTGTCCTGGGGGCTTTGCTTCCAAATGCCAATGCCAGTTCCCTTCTAATAAGATATTATCATTAGTGGGTAATGTGGTAGGAGTCCAGTTTAATAGAGGACTAAAGAAATTAGAACCTAAATAAATGAGTTTGGAGGACAGGTATATTAGACATAGTGGCAGATAATAGAAGAAATATCTGTATTTAAGAACCTGCCAATGCTTTCAAATCTTGCTCCCTATTATGTGTGCATAAGAATTACCTTGTTCTTATTACAGATGAGGGTCCCTGTGACCCAAGTATTCGTCCCTATAGCACCAGTTCAGTAGAAGGAAATTACAGTAATGTAATTATAATAAATGACACCCCAAAAGTAATAAATTATTCATAGACACAGACATTTTTCCTAGTACACGTTTTTCCTAAACCAATCACGGATCTTAAAGATGGAATTGTTTTACCTTTTAAAGGTCTCCAGCCTTTTCCTTGGATTAATGTTATTTTTCTGAAGAGAATACTATACAAATCAAAAAAACATGCTTTAGAGCATTATGGGCTTCTAGTAATAATGATGCCAGGAAAATAAGTGTGAACTGTGACTGTCCTGATCAAACTGGTAGGTATATTAACCCATTTATAGTTTTTTTGACATGATTTCTGCTAAGGTTGTACATCAAGGATTTCTGCTCTTGTAAATTGGCTCATGAATAGTTGCAGCCTTAGAGTAAATGCACATAACAACTTCTGTTAAGAATATGAATTTAACCTTAATGACCTCATCTGTTGAATCTTTTCAAGTTTCTCTGTGATGAATCAGGAGTCTTTGCATCTCTGATATATTAAGATGTTTCTGGTTGCAAGAGGTAAAAATCCTAGGCAAATTTACTTAAATAATAAAGGAGAAATTAGGCGGTAGTGTGGCAGTTTTAGAGTAGGTATGACCTACATACTCCATGGTATCATCAAAGATCTGCTTGTTTGCATTTTGCGTCCCAGATGGTATCAGCTTTATCTTCGGACTGACTCATGGAAGTTCATGCACTTTGCCTCCTTGTTTAGACTGAGCTTGGGTTGTTTCTGGGTGAGTGAGGGAGCTTTTCAGATATTCTCCCAAAACTGTTCTTCGTGTCCCATAGGTCTTAACTAAGTTACATGCGCATCTTTTAAAACTCTGTCTTTTGAGTGGGATTATGGTTCACTTAGGCCTGACTACTAGAGCCAATGATGGAGTTGGCTTTCCCCAAAGTACATGTGCTACATTGGGGTAGTATAGCTATCTATACAAGAATAAGGAGAGTTATAAGGAGAAGAGGAACTCCTGACTAGCAGACTAATTACAATATCTAACTCACTGCCCTCTAACCACTTGCTAAGCTAAGCAACTTTCCCACCTGCTTCCCTGACTCTTGACAATTGTATTCATTCAAATTACTTTTTGATCTTTGCTTTTCCTTTGGCACAGCAAATCTCTCATCCCTGGGCCTCCTACTTACTGTCATTTCTCCTATAAATGCCTAGGTTGACCTCTACAGACTGGGGATTCTGGAAGCTTGGTGGTCTTAGGAAAGAAATTTAGTGAACTAGAAAAGATTATAATCAACATTAAGGTGGTCTTATTTTGCTCTTGATTACTACTATCACTATTTTTTTCTAGGATGATTAAAAGCTTCATAAGTCTACAGAGAATAAAGAACATGCTATTTATTTTCTTTACCTTGTATCTAAAGAAATGTCTATTTTTTCTTATTGAAGTTAATGCCAACCTGACAAAAATCATTTAAAAATGTAGATTTATAACTTGTGAAAGGTAAAAGAGTTTTAATCTCACTTAATGTGCTCATGTTATAGCCAAAGAAATAGGGGTTCATATAGAGGAAGTGATTCCTCTAGTTCATAACAAAAGCATGTCCTTCATCCCATATTTTTACTCCTAATGATTTATACTATGCTTTACAGTTTATTATAAGGTTATTTTTTATATAGTGTCAGCTCTTGATTGGAGCCAAGTAACTGTGGTAAAAATAAAATACTGCACTTTTGGAAAAATACAAATTAAAAAAAAATTTTTTTTTTAAGATTTTATTTGAGAGTGAGAGATAGCGAGAGAGAGCATGAGCGGGGAGGAGAGGGAGAAGCTGAGCAGGGAGCCCAATGCGGGACCTGATCCTAGGACCCTGAGATCACGACCTGAGCCAAAGGCAGACACTCAACCGACTGAGCCACCCGGGTGCCCCGGAAAAATATAAATTAACATGAATTAGTAAGTAATCCATAATGGAAAATATTTATTTTGGGGAACTATGTAGTAATAGACTGTGGATCTACTGCCGTGGAAATGCCTTCTTCCTCATCAGTCAATGGTGAGCTCCTACCTAGAATGTTGGAAATCTAACTTCTGATTCAGAATGGCAACTGAGCATACTTCTCCTCAAATGCCATTGAAATAACTATGAGGATAGAAAAAGGGATAAAGGCACTGAGAATGGGGCTGGGGGGCCATATTAGGGAATTATATACTTCCAAGTTCTAAAAGATGGGAGGCAAATGGAATAATATTGAAAGAACTACAGACAAGACCAGGCATAGTCCAAGGCTGAGGTAGAGGTGGGAGCTCATTCTTCACAGGACAGCTATGGAGAAAATCAGTAGGAAAAAAAAGAAAAAAAGGAAAGGAGCTCCTGAGGACAAAAGAGTGGAAAGAACTCAAGCCATGCCCTGTCCTCACTCTGCTTTCTCTTCCTGTTTGTGCAGCTGTAGAACTTGCCCCCAGTGCTGAAGTAAAAAATCTAAATAAATTGAGTGCGTAGAAGATGATGGTGTTCCTACAGAGGGATTGGTGCCCTAGATTGGCAGCCCCTAGTTTGGTCTAATTTTGATCCTAAAGTTCTACATCGCTCAAACAGTTAATCAGGTGTGAGGGCAAGTTTCAAGCAACCAAGTAAACAGGAAATGTCAGCAAAGGGCTATCATTAAGAATTTAATATATTTAACTATAGAAGTAAGACTAAAATGAAAGTAGAATAAGTGTAACAGTAATACCTAAATGTTTTACACTCTGACAGGGTAGAAATAATGCATCTAACAACAAGCAACAAAACAAAAAAAGGAGAAAAGGTAGAATGTAGAATAAGCTCCCTGATTGCCCCATGTCTAATAAGAATCAAATCAAAGGTAATAATTTAAAACTGACAAATCAAGTAGTAGAATTTTAAGTATATTTAAGAGTACAAAAGTAAAGGATAGGAACATTGCCTAAACTTGGGTAGCAGAAGGTATGGAGGAAGAAGTACAAGCTAATGTTACTCAGAAAAGAAAACAGATATTATGTAAAGGTGTAAGTATAAAGAAAACCACTAAATCAAAAATACAAACCTTTCTCAATGTTAAAACTAAAATTATTTTTGTGGTAAAGAGCAAATAATATGAGAGACTAGATATTATGTAAAGGTGTAAGTATAAAGAAAACCACTAAATCAAAAACACAAACCTTTCTCAATGTTAAAACTAAAATTACTTTTGTGGTAAAGAGCAAATAATATGAGAGAACTAAACTTAAGTCTCTACACAGTCACATGAAGAAATGTAAATAGGCTTATCTCACCTATTAAAAAGGTGTTCAGATTGGATCACAGACAAAACCTAATTCCATATCATGCTGTACATAAGAGACATCTAAAACAAAAGTGAAAAATGATGCACAAAGGCATACTAGGAAATGTAAATAAAAAGAAAGCAGAACTCATGATCTTAATAAAACAAGGTACATTTCAAAGAAAACATAAGACAAAGAAATGCACTTTCTAATCCTAAAGACTCTAATTCTCAAGGAAGTTATGATAGTTATGAATAACTATTACACTTAATAACATAATAGCTTCTTTCATGAAGCAAAAAAACGACAAGAGCTGCATGGAGAAATATGTAGAAGTACCTTAATACTAGGAGACTAATTCACTTCTCTCAGCCTAAGACAAATCAAGTGGACCAAAAAAAGAAAAATGAAGTGAAGAAGACCCATACTACATAATCAGTAAGGTAGATCTGGCAAATACACACCAAATTCTATACATGATAGTAGAATATGCCATTTTTACAAGTGCCATCTAACATTCATGAAAATTGACCTTATCAGTGGATGAAAAGTGAACTTTGATGAATTCCAGAAGTATAAATAATACAGATTTCATTCTCTGAAAATAATACAATAAGAATGGGTAGAAAATAATACAATAAGAATGGGTATTAACAAAATAACAAAGCCGGAAAATGAAACTGCCCCTATATCTTGAAATTTTATTTTATTGTATTTTTTTTTAAAGATTTTATTTATTTACCAGAGTGTGCACGAGAGAGAGAGCACAAGCAGGGGAGCAGCAGGATCCCCACTGAGCAAGGAGCCTGATGTGGGACTCAATCCCAGGACCCTGGGATTATGACCCAAGTGGAAGGCAGATGTTTAACCGACTGAGCCACGCAGGCGCCCCTCTTTCTCTAGTTTCTTAAATGGGAGCTTAGAATATTGTTCTGAGACTTTTCCTCTTCTCTAATATGTACGCGTAGTATTATAAATTTCCCTGAAAGAGATGTTTTATGACTAGGACGCTATGAAATTTCCATTCCTTAAATTTTATTTACTTATTTATTTATTTGATAGAGACACAGTGAGAGAGGGAACACAAGCAGAGGGAGTGGGGGAGGGAGAGGCAGGCTTCCCATGGAGCAGGGAGCCCTATGCGGGACGATCCCAGGGCCCTGGGGTTATGACCCGAGCCGAAGACAGATGCTTAACCGACTGAGGCACCCAGACACCCCAGAAACACTCATTTTTAAAAATAGATTGCCTACACCAGCTTTTTGGGCAATAATGGCAGAGTTGAGTAGTTGTGACA